CACAACAGCTCATGACCATCCCATTATTCTAAATCTCCCACTACAGCAATCCGCATCTTCCACCAGGCCGACCAATAACTGACTCCCTAATACAAAATAAAGATTCTTCTATGAAAAATAAATGCGCATTTATGCAGTACTAGATGGATAAAACCAATAACTTTCCGTATTGAAGCTCATGAAATTGATGCAACGGCATTAAAGATGATAGTTTTCCACGAACATTCACAGACAACTTAAATTTTTTAGTTGAATAAACTTTTACAATAAAAGTCGTAGAATCATTAATAGCTTTATGCTTCAAATTTTTATCGGATTCTAATTGCTTAATTTATACTACTTATGTTACTATCTACGTCAATAGTACTGCAATATGAATTTGCACTAATGCTGTAAATTATATCAACACCATTTATTGCCGTATTCCTATAAAAAAAGTTCACTTGGTTTTATTCAGTTTTTGTTTGTAATTATTCAAAAAATGTTCTAAAGGAGTCACTATAGGTATAAAAACTACTTTTCGAAGATGTATTAGTCTTAACCCGTTTTTATTTCTATAACGAATAAAACCAAACAAAATTTCTTTTTATAGGGTATTCGGGAAATATGTACGTACGTACCAGGTTGGTATGCCATAGCATTGAATAACAATTAAATTATTCAAAAATCCATTTTATATTTGTTGATAATAATGTTATTGTCGTGCTTGAAGTTGTAACTTTAAACTCCTGAAGTTGAAACTGCCTAAAATTACTAACTAACGCGGGCAAGGAAGATAATTTCAGGTGTCAATTTTAGTTTGTGTGCCTAAATTGGTAACTTTAAATAGATGTCAACTTCAAGCACGACATTATTGTTATTATATTGTCCTTTTTCGCTACGTATACATAAAATGTTTTTTTTTTTTAATGAAATGAACAACTATTATAGCATTATAGAATAATTTAATTTATTTTAGATCTAATTGAATTTCTTGTAAGGATTAATATAATTTAACATTTACCATACAGAGTGGACTAAAAGACCCCTTTTATAATACCCCTTACGATTTTCTGAGGCCTAGAACGGGTACTAAGGATGGATTAATTGCACTTAGTATATAAAATATTATTGCAACACTCATATAGTGCAACTTATCTCCCCACGCTGACCATAGCCCCCCTTCGACTATAATACCATAAATACAGCTTAAATTGTAAAGTACCCCGAGTATTTTAGTCCACGCTGTACGGTAGCTTTTGGATTTACCATTACCTCAGCG